TATTTAAACTTCATATACGATCTAATTAGTGTCCTTACTCCTATAAAATCTCTATTTTCTAGAGAAATGACGACACTTAAAGGCTCAAACCTCTTTAATCTTCATACTAAGCTAGAGAAAGTTGCAAATATGCATTATAACAAAAACATGAAATTTTCTAAATTTTCTTGAAATATGTGGGTTAACCCCTATGAAAATATTGAATTTGCCGAAAATCGCTACTTTCTAGAGAAACGGGAACACATAAGGTCTAAAACCTCTTTAATCTTCATACTATGTCAGTTTATGATGCAAATATTCATTAAAATAAAAATAAAAAAAATTTCTAATTTTTCTCGAAATATGTGGGTTAACCCCTACGAAAAAATTGAATTTTTCAAAAAATGCTTTCTTTGATTTTTAGACATTTCAGTGTTGTTTAAAAATATTAAACCATACTCTCAATGTTTATTAATGTATGCTAAACATATTTCAATGGTACAAGGTCATCATTTCTAACTTCCCAATGAGTAACTTATTTAAATTTCATATACGATCTAATTAGTGTCCTAACCCCTATAAAATCTATATTTTCTAGAGAAATGACAACACTTAAAGGCTCAAACCTTTTTAATCTTCATACTAAGCTAGAGAATGTTGCAAATATGCATTATAACAAAAACATGAAATTTTCTTGAAATATGTGGGTTAACCCCTATGAAAATATTGAATTTTCCGAAAAATGCTTTATTTTATTTTTAGAATTTTTAGTGTTGTTTCAAAATATTAAACCACACTATAAATGTATATTAAACATATTTTAATGGTACATGGTCATCATTTCTAACTTCTCAACGAGTAATTAATTAAACTTTTTATACGATCTAATTAGTGTCCCTACTCCTATAAAATCTCTATTTTCTAGAGAAATGACGACACTGAAAGGCTCAAACCTCTTTAATATTCATACTAAGCTAGAGAAATTTTCAAATATGCATTATAACAAAAACATGAAATTTTCTAAATTTTCTTGAAATATGTGGGTTAACCCCTATGAAAATACTGAATTTTTCGAAAAATGCTTTCTTTGATTTTTAAACATATTAGTGTTGTTAAAAAATATCAAACTACACTCTAAATTTAGATTAATGTATGCTAAAGATATTTTCATGGTACATGGTCATCA